CAGGCGGTCAAGGCGCTGTCACTAACAGCTTTTCCAGCACACTGAATGGACTCCTACATGAAATCAGCTCAGTTTCCACTGCAGGGAGGTCACCCACTGTGTTACATGACACATCAGTATTCATGATTTTTTGGTTTCTCCACCTCTGTCTCCTGTTTCAACCCATTAGTGTTCTCCTCCTAGACGTCTCCTGATCCTGACGTCTAGGGAGTACTTTAGACCAAATGAGGACCTGGGCACTAATCACTGTAAAAACCAAAATAGTTGATTCTCAGCATTCATTATTCAGGCCAGGAGTGATTCATTGTCTGTCACTGGGCCAAACAACCATTCAACAAACATTGTAATTCACAGTAAAACCTATGATGAGTTTAGAGTAACCTTTTGACCTTATTCTGTAAACTATTACTAACATGAAAAATCATGATTTAGTTTCTGTTAAGGTCATAGCGACGTATGGACTTTTTCCCCCACATCATTCACTCATCTGTGTTTAGACACCAGTGATTATTAGTTCACCGTCAGCACATAATCTATTTTTAGTGATATGTTAAAGAAAAAAAAAAAGTAGTTCTAAAGGTCAGCGAATTAAAAGCTAATATTTGCTAATTAGCATTTTAAAAGGTGATAGCTTAGCTTTGCATGTCACTTGTTCACCCGCCCTGTAGTCATTGGTTGTTCTAACCATTAGGTGAGTATGCAAATAGATTACTTGAGCAATTAGCTGTGTTTCTTATCGTTCTGAAGATGTCGTACCGTTTCTGTTTATATTACAGACATGGCACTGCTGCCATATATTAGTTTAGTTATTTTTACTGTCAGCCCTTCATCTATTTTTAGTTGATATCATGGAGACAGAGAAGGGCCAAAGGTCGTTGGAATACAGGCTAATATTTGCTCATTAGCATTTTAAAGGTGATAATTGCTCTGGAGAACAGAGGCATCATTACAGCATTGATGTTTTACATTTATTGGACTGGACCAAAAGTTCAGCTGGTGAGCATTAGCTCGGGGCATTTCATCCACGTGGTACGAACCTTAACCACTCAGCTGTCACGCTGGCTGTAAATCCTCTTTTTTTTTTTTTTTATAACTTCACTGGATCACATTAATGGCCTGAGTTCTATTATTCTCTCAGCCAAACTGTGGAGTTGGGAGAGCAAAGTCAAGCAAAGTCAAGAGAAAGGATTAGGGATAAATTCACAAAGGCAGCGTTTCAGATTTGTGCCTCTGGTGCCAACCATGAGGTCCAGCACCTGCACTGAAGCTGCTGCCAGGCAGAGGCAGAGCTGCGCTCAGATCCTGACACACAGTTCTCACACAGGGCTGATATATCAGGGGAAAAAATAGATTCTGACAATATGATCCAACTCGCAGTAAACATCTTATTCAGTTATAAATAAGAATATTTAATTTGATATTGAAGTAAATATGTGTTCCATTATTCATTTTTAAAGTGGACCAGAGAGGAATGGAATGAAAGACCATACTTTGCATTTTTATCATTTCTGTGAGGCAGATAAAAAGGAGATTTCAATCATCTTGTAGAGAAAATATTCGGACTTTTGGTTGAAAGGACATGTTTATTGTTCCATTGGAAGAACTCAGTTTGCTGCAAATCATTTCAGGTAATAACTAGAAAGTGAAGCATGCCAGAGAAACCAGAGTAACAAAGCCAGTCCTTTGAAATTTCCAGGATATGAAGTGTACAGCTCAGGTGTACACACACACACACACACACACACACAGAGGGGTTTTGTATTCAGTGTAGGCTAAGCTCAGAATAATGAGCTTGGACTCATGAGGTGCAGTTCAATAATTCTCTTTCTCTCCCTGGTTTTTCAACTAACACCAACAAAATGGTGCAATTTAAAAAAAAGCTGATTACAATAACGGAATATCAGAAAACAAGGGATGAAGTTGGGATCCATGAGGAGTGTGAGGTCTGAGCACATTATTTAGATTAGGGTGTTAGCGGCAGGTAATCTTAGAGGAAAGTTAATAACAGCACAGAGTCGGGCAGAGTCACATGTTTAAAAAAAGTATTCAAACTACTGAGCTTTTGCTGCCTGTGTGAAATTAATTACCTTCAACATTGGCCTGAGTGAAAACAGTAGCATCAATAATCTCATCATTTTTCACCTCTGTTATTTCACTATTTCGAGGTGATGAAACTATTATGATACAATTTCTGACAAAAATTATTATTCTTGTTAATACTGTTGGTCAGGTTCTAGCTAACTAGAATGAATCTAACTTGGATTTTAACAGCTGCAGCCAAAAAGTGTGTGGCTCCAGAATTAGGCAAAAATCTCTCACCAAATATGGACCAGTCACTTTTTGGCCCGCATATAACGTCTTCCTCAAGACATCTGTTCTTTATCGTTGATATTTTCGTAAACTCTTTCCTAACTCTGTGGATAAGGTTGAATCTCAAGAGATGATGTTGTCCTGCTCCAGACGTATGTAACAAAACATTCAACAAAACGTTGTCCTGCACGAGAAATGCTGCATTATCACTGTAATGGTTCAGTGATGGTTGGTCGAGAAGTCACAGCAGGAACCCACATATAATGGAAACATGTAACTGTGTGTACGAGTGTTTGTGAGAAGACTGCACAGCAGGCCACATGCTACCATCAAGGTAGCGTAGCCTTCTTTCCTTCCATCCTTCCTTCCTTCCTTACTTCCCTCCCTCCCTCCCTCCCTCCCTCTCTCCCTCCCTCCCTCCCTCCCTCCCTCCCTCCCTCCCTCCCTCCCTCTCTCCCTCCCTCCCTCCCTCTCTCCCTCCCTCCCTCCCTCCCTCCCTCTCTCCCTCCCTCCCTCCCTCTCTCCCTCCCTCCCTCCCTCTCTCCCTCCCTCCCTCCCTCCCTCTCTCCCTCCCTCCCTCCCTCCCTCTCTCCCTCCCTCCCTCCCTCCCTCTCTCCCTCCCTCCCTCCCTCTCTCCCTCCCTCCCTCCCTCTCTCCCTCCCTCCCTCCCTGCCCGAGGCTTGTGCCCGAGGCTTGTACTGTATATGTATGGATTTAAACTGCAATAAGCCTCACATATCCACACGTCGACCCGTCAACCCCTCCCTACAGGAGGTGCACACGTCAGCCAAGTGAAGGTCTTCAGTTTTGCGGAGGTCAAAGTTGTCGTCTGTCAGGCTGGCGAGATGTCTGTGTGTGACTGCTCAGGGTAATTGGTGGCATAGCTGCCTCCGTGGAGGGGGCTTGACAGAAATCTTGCCACGTGTCAGCGAAGCTCATTGGAGCAGCATCAGGTTGTTGTTGCTGCGAGGGCTCGTCATGACGGGACACAAACAGAGAGGCTGAGACGCAGCAGCACATGAAACAGAGACACACTGCCACAATCAGCTGCAGTCAAAGGTGCTTCACACCTGGAGCTCCAGATGATGTTACCACTGCGGACAAAAGCCACCCACACGTCCACTGATGACATGGGAACAGTGGACATTGTGGTGATGTATAAGGGAAAGGCCAGGCCTGCAGGAGTTTTATGGCTATTACCTGTTAGAGGTGGTTTGAAATATGACATGCTTGTGTCTTAGAAATCCTCCGTGAGAGATGTTTAGCTCCAGGCCAGGGATACTTTCCCGTCACATTTCAAGGCCAATTCCGCAGTTGCCTGGATACAGACCTTCACATGAGCAGAGTTTCTACTCAGGCCTTTGACAGCTGAGCCAGGATGTGAAAATCAGGCAGCTAGTTAACAGTCTTCCTTTAAGGATTCTCTTATAGTGAACCCCTTCTTTGCTCCCTTCTGTGTGTTTTCATATCAGTTATTGGGTTACACACTGTAAGTAATAGGGTTTAAAGTTCAGCTTCTCTCATTGTCACCAGAGAGGAGTCGATTGTCTGCAGTTTGGCTCAAAGCAATGGCTTTTTAAGCTTTTTACCAGGACCCGCGTCAAAGGTTGACTCACTATTCCAACACAAGTTGTGGTATAATTCAATATGACTGTGACCAAATCAGTCTTAAATATAACTTTCCACATTTTATTGTTTATTTTAACTTTCTGTTGACTTCTACAAACCACACTAAGACTGTATGTACTGTATGTGCAAACTATTTATTATTATTTGGGATAATTTTGTCCTTCGTTGGTGTTTCTCCAAATAATGTAAATTTACTGCTGTCAACTTGCTTTGATGGATTTTTAATGAGAGACAATTGTGCATTTGTTGTTTTTTTCAAGGTTGCCAGGGGAACTACAATTAATCCCAGAATTCATTGGATGAGCATGGTTCCCCCTGAACAATTCACCTGTCAATCACAGTGCTACTTAAATACTCGGTCCCATTGGCCCAATCCCTGATCCTCATGTTTTTGGACTATGGGAGTAAATCAGAGTACGGTACACAGGGAGAGCATGAAAAATCCATACTGAAAACCACCAATTACCACCGGGGATCAAACCTGTCATCTTCCTACTGTAAGGCAAGAGCACCAACCACTCTTTTCACCACTCCAATACAGTAGTTCTTATTTTTTGACAATTTAATTTTTATTTATTATTGAAGTAAATCGGTAGTTTCAACTTGTTGACCTTACTGTGTGTCATATCATTTGACAGATTTTTTTTTGTTGAGTGTTTGGGAGCCTTCTGCAGCAGTCATGGCATCAGCTAATTCAAAGACCAATGTCACACCGAGTTAGCTTATTCTGTCCATCAATTAACTTTTAATTATTTTCCTTATTAGAGTCAGTAGAAACAAAAAGGTCAGTTGGAGAGAATGACCAGGCCTGTCTGTTTCCTTGGCTCCTGCAGAGATGTTCTCGTTCTTTCTTAAGGCAAAGAGACACATCTGCGTGCAGTTCTTCCTCAAAATAAAATTCAAATTAAAAATAGGAGTAGCTCAACCTCAGGGTTGCAGTTGACAGATGCATGGGCATTTTATTCTTTGAGTTTCTCCAGACTGAAGCCTATTTGAGTTTCTTTTATTTCTTGTCC